TGCAGCAAAGCTTTAACATGAAATTTGACCAGAGCCATTAAGATGCTTCTTTTTCTGGAAAATTGGTATAGCTGTTGGAAAGTAGTGGTAGAGGTACACATCATAAGTTTGAGATTATTTTGAATAAATAATTTTCCAATTTTTATCTTTTTATTCTGATTTCGTAAGTAGAATAGCCTTTTCTGAGAATGTCTATCAGCCGTCGACAGAACAGTGAAGTCTGACCTTGCCTTCACACTTCTAGTAATCAAATGAGAAGGGGGTTCTCTGCTCAAAATTACATGACCTGTACGGTTACTTTTGGGTTACGGTAGGGGAAGGGGTATGTTGTTCGTGTCCAACTCGTTTCTTCTAGAAAAGCAAAACCTGAAAGGCAGAACTGTTCTACTCCTGAAAAAAGCTTCATTATAGTGGGTGAGGTTGGCATGCAGGCTATTTTGTTGCAGCATTGCCGCTTCAGTGGCGCCTCTTGCCACTAAACCACCCACGCTCACTTGCGTAAGGTGCACATTACTATTGAACACTGTGAAAGTATTGAAGCTTATTTGATTGGGATAACTGCCACTGAAGTGGAAGTGGTGCAGTGACAAGTGGCGTGCTTACCACTTACCAGCGCGGTCCTGGGTTCAAATCCCGGGTCGACTCCGCCCAGGCCAACCAAGCCTTCTACCCTCCGGGGACGGTAAATTGGTACCAGATTCGTCTGGGAGGATAAAAACTGACTTGTACATCGGCTGGCCCCCGCAAGTCATTGTATAGGCCACATCGCATTCAATAAGCCACTGTGAAGCCATCTCACAAAGGGATTGATCAACGACGAAGACTTATCCTTTATCCTTTAACTGCCACTGAATGCCGCAGTTAGCGCTCCGAAAGTTATCGCAAGAATGCTAAATTTTGGGAAAAAGTTAAGGTCACAGGGAGGAGTCACATTCAATGTGTTAGGGTAAGAGTCGGCTCGGGGTAATCTAGAGCGCAGGGTAAGAGTCCGGCAATCGTAGGGGTGCAGCGAGGCAGAGGCCCGCCATGACGGCTTAGAGACTGCGTTTCGCCACTGCTCAGCCTTCCGTGATCGAAAAGCGTGCCAGTTGAGTCAGTGGGCGGATCTTTGTAGAGATGAGTAGATGGGCACCAGACTGCGTCAGGGGCGCAGACTTTCGCCCAGAGATGCCGACTGTCTTTCGCAGAGGTGCGGTTTCGCAGGGACGGTCTAGATACGTCTTCTCATTTTTGAAAACTTCGTTGGGTGTGAAGGGATCGAACGCTCAAAAAAATTCTTACCCCCGGCCCTACCAACCCTCTTGCGACCAGGTTGCTAATATCTCGTATAGGTTGGATGAAGGCCACAAAAAACACTGGACTCGATCATGTGATTTAATAATGTTAGTTGGTGTGGCCAATCTCCCTTCTAACCACTCTTGAGAGTTCTGGGCCAATGGGAGGTGGCGAGTCCTGGATAATTGTACAACTCATCTCTTCGATAGTTTATGATTAAATTTCCTGCAGCAATAGCCAAACTATTTACACAGGCAACTTCGAGTTAGAGGCTGATGAGATTGTAAGTTTGGATGGAACGGAAAAACCAACGAAACACAAGCACAACAGTAAATAGCCGACATAACCAAACAGAGACATCCAGGTGCCAATGCGGCAGTCACTTTCCATTCTTCCGGGAAACGAATATTCCCCTTTCCAAACCTATCACTCAGATGCCAGTTGACGCTTTAGGATGCTTTCAAATTCGCTACAATAAGCCGTTCATACTTTGCAATTTAAGCTATTCAATAGCGCGACTACAGTCGACCACGCTTCACCGCCAATCATTGAACCACTGCTAAAGTCGACAGAAGTTTTTTCCGAATATTACTGAATTCATACATGCAGTGAAACGAAAATTGGAGTTGGAATACGGCCTGTCGTAATGGTGCCATTGAATCGCGCGACTAAATCGTGAACTATGAACACTGTATTAGTTGGAGGCAGACGAGCGCCGCTGTCGCAAAGGGGCAGAATAACTGAATACATATCTCGATCTAGCATAGGAAATACAGTCTTACTGGGGAGTGTCAGGGTGCACTGGGTTAGGCGCAGCGCCAGCCCGCTCCCCACAAATTGTTGCATACAAGCGACAACAATAGGTGGAAAACGTGCTGGCACAACGCCAAACCAAGCCCTCCCGTGACACGCCCATCCACAGAGAACAAGGCGGTACGTCATTATATTGCAGCCCTTCCTTGGAAAAACGACAGTATTACTCATGTCTTAATAATTTTCTACTGCAAAAAGAGCTTTCATGCCAGACCCCCCTCACATTCTCTTTTTAATCTGTGCCAGGCCGTTATTTCTGATCCAGAATGTCAGAGAGGATTTCGAAGCAAGCCATATCCCGAATGCTAGTACGAGCCAAATGGAAGCGTGCTAGTAATCAAATAGACACGATGTTACCGCAGTTGGGGGGGGGGAGGTGTAGACAGAGACGGTGTGAGATGGGTAGGGAAGTAGCATAAGTTCCCGCTTGGAGGCGAAACTCATATGAACTCAAGCAAAGACAAGAATCCATGACGAGCGCAGTCAGGTTTCCCCCTCTTTTTGACGCTCTTCTTTGAATGGCTAAGCTGGACAACTCGCCTGTCAGGCGCAGTGTCGCTCGCCTCACATACCAGGCTTCATATTACGATTGTCTTGTCACATACCCCGAGGCGGTAATGCTCCTTTTCTGCTCATCTGCGTTATCCCAGTGAAATAGTATCACAAGAATGCTGAGTTATGGGCAAAAGTCGTGCCCCAGGCGGGAGTCGAACCCGCACCTCACGCTTTCCGGGCGAGTGCGCTATCCGTTACGCCACCAGGGCCGCTTTTACCCTCTCAGCTTAACGGCTTTTTATGCTCACAAGAATGCTGAGTTAGGGGCAAAAGTCATGCCCGCGGGCGGGAGTCGAACCCGCATAAAAGGAAGAGGTGCGGGGTTTGGACTCCGCCTGGGGCACGACTTTTGCCCACAACTCAGCATTCTTGTGATAACATTCGGAACGCGTACTGCGGCGTTAAACAGCAGTTATCATAAAAACAGCTGCAAAGTGAAATAGTGTTTAGTAAGTTTCGGGAACATTTTAGGCGCAGGTTTCTCCGCCCCGGAGAAGATATTCTGTTTAATCCCGGCTGGTCATTGCTTTAGTGATCACCCAATTTAGGTTTTCCTTTCGTTCACACGCATTTTATATGAAAGGACTCACCATATTTTCACGCTGCGAAACGTTCTTATCGAGACGCTCCCGGATTTCACGGAGTTGGTGGGAAATAGACATGAAGAAGTCGAGCATGACCATTCGGAAGATGGGATTCTGCTGAGGCGCCTGAAATTCGTCCACGATGTGTTGTAGGCTATTTGTCCACGGTTGAGGTTGAGGTCTTCATTAGAGTCACATTACTCGACTGCATGGTTGTCCTTCCTGCGTAGACGATGAGTAGCCCGTAGTCATAAAAGTGGGGAAAGAATAGGTTTACCTACATCGCCAAGGCTGGGACTGACAGCTTCCTGTCCAGTTGCTCCACCCTTTTTCTCATAAACCAACTACGTCAACCAATTCGTCACTCGGAACCAACTTCCTACTGTCACTGTGACACGCGAACACAATCTGACGATCCTATTCCTCCATTGCCCCTAATCGGATCTTACCAGCTGTTATCTGTTCCCAGGGTACAGCATGGGGATGTGCGAAATGTCGGTGTGAGTACGACCCCCCCCCTTCGAATGGGGTCCAGGCACGACCCCCCCCTCCACCTCCACGGCTTTTTCGCCGACGACGAGCGAGTATATAGTCAACGAAATATCCCACGGGCGTACAGAATGCATATAGTGCATATAAAAAATTAATACGACCCCCCTCCCCAGAGCAAAAGTACGACCCCCCATGGGTTTGACAACGATGCTGTACCCTGTCTGTTCCTGCCACATAGCAGTAGCATTCCCGCCTCACTTGTATACCAGTTCTAATAAAAATCAGTCTCTAAAAAAAATCAACGATGATACTTATTGATCGTTACGATTAAACCCACCTTGCGCTCGAGTGACTGTCCATGCACTTATTTACGTATCTCTTCGCATGCGTTCAGCTACTCCATTGTCCTCTCGTATCTTTACATGTTTCGAGATACGAATAAACCCTGAAATTCACGAAAAATGAGAGGGCAGGAGGATGGATGATGATCCAACCTCGAAGGTATGAGTGGGCGTGCGCTTTCTTGAACGTGGCTGCGGCTGCACTTCTGGTGAGATTTTGCCGTTTCGTCAAGGTTGCAAGCATGTATTTGTCCAGGATGACAATTGTCTCGAATATTAATGTCCAACGAGAAAAAGAATCTCAGACCGTGCTCAAATTAAGCACTCGGCCACGCCTTTTCCATCTCGGGATAAGTAATGTACTTAAAGGAAGAACCCGCGCATGACTCGTCTCTCCCATGAGTAGATGATTAGGGGGACTGTAGACGACAAGGGTAACGGAGTTGTTGCATGTAGTCGACCGTGAAACAAAAAAAAAGCACAAGAACAGTGGCACTGCCCTAGATAAGACCCCACTTCGATCCCAGTTTGTACGTGCCCAATCAACTCTATCTCCAAAACTACGCCCTCATATGCACGGCTGATTCACCGATAAGATTTCTACGATCGTACAAGTGGCGATTATCAAAACTCTTATCGTCCTTAAATATCATTTCACTTTGGAAGTGGTCAATTACAGGCGGAGTGCTGGAGCAGAGTCTGGAAAAAGGAGGTAGCACTGAAACCTGCTACTTGCGCTGACAAGCGCCCTTCCCGTAGAATTTTTTGCGCGCGAAACCCGTACAAGGTTGCTCGTTCAATTTCGATATCTGATCGCGGACCGTGCCTTTAAATGAGGTACACATCTTGTGAGTACATTCGGATATCGTCTTTGAGGTTCAAATATGAGGGGACAGGCGCCAATCGCCCAAACGATATCGGTAGACTTGCCAATATCTCAGCATTTTTGTGATATCGGTAGAAACGAGTGAAACTGTCGAATACCCCCAAAATAAAGCTTCTCTTTCAAATGCGAGAGACCAGTTACGAAATAGGAGAGATCAGACAGGTGAATGAGATGGCAGACAGCTAAGCATTTGCGAGTGACGTCATAAATAGATGGGGCCATTTCGGTGAATAAGATCGCTACATTGAACGGCGGCCTCAATACTCTTTTCGCTCACATCTCTGCGAAAATGGCATCACTTTTACAACTGCATTCCGGCCAACTTGTATAAGGAAAGAATTCTACCTAAGCTGGTGATCGCAAAAGCGTCATCGCGTTTGTGAAGGCAGTGGGCAAAGTGGCTGAGGGCGCACGGTTATTGGCAACGTCACATTGCTAACCGCCCTCCGCTAGCCGTCGTGTGTACTGCCTTTCAAAGAAAAAAAAAAGACAGAAAGTTACCTCTCCAACTTTTCGCGTCAATTCGAGTTTCTCGCCTGGAAGCTGTTCTAGAGTGGTTTGCACAACGTCTTTATTTCCGCCTTCGGTTTCCTCACATTGATCCAACAGTCGATCACCCCAATTGCGTGAAGCGCACTGAAAACATCGAGAGGGTAATGAACTGAAAGCACTGTCCTAAACATAAAATTAGTCGCGTAAACTAGCTTATTTGTTCAGCGGCGTCTTAGTGGATCCATCTAAGAGTGAAAGCGCATGCTGGGCCAATTTTCATAAGTACGCAGGATGTTTTGTCAAGCTGAACGCCTTGTCATTTCAGTCTGAGCCAGTAGTTTAAGCAACAAGTTAGGGCTGCTACCACTCAGAGTACACATCGTTTCTGTGTTAAGAAATGGGAGGGGGTCGGCTGATAACTCCGTACTTGATACGCTTGGGGAGGGTTGAGGGAACAGGTCGTACATCCAATTGTTTGTTCCACTAATAAGAGTTCCTGTTTCACGAAACAATTTGCCGCCCTACCTGCACAGTCTTTCTAGTAAGAAGATCTCTGCTTTCAAAAAAGCCATGAGAAGTAACGATTCACAGGATTGGATGACCTATAAGCTTCTGTCCGAGAAATTTGACAAATGTCTGTATAAGTTTAATTGTGCTGTTGAGAGGAAAATAGTGGAGTCGCAAAACAAATCTTTTCTTTTCAATTATATTAAAGCTCGGATTTATCCCAGGAGCACAATTTCCTCCCTTGTTAAGCACAGTGGTTCGCTTGCTTTTACTGATATAGACAAGGCGGAGACTTTGGCTGATGAGTTCCAGAAGGTATATGTAAACCATGATGACGCTCCTACAGGACCTCCTCTTGAGTCCAAGTTTTCCAATATGGAGGAGTTAGACCTAATTAAACGGGATGATATCCTCAAATTCCTTCTTAAGTGGCCCTCCAGCTTCTCTCATACTCCCGACGGGGTACCTTTTGTTTTTATCAAGAAAGTTGCAGCCTATCTTGTTGTGCCACTCGAGCTTTTGTTTAATAGGAGCCTGCTATACGCTGAGGTACCTTCAAGATGGAAGCATTCTTTTGTTTCGCCTCTTCCCAAGAAACCACCCTACAATAATCCAGGGAACTACAGGCCTATAAGCATTACATCTGTTTTTTGTAGGCTCCTCGAAAAAATCATCAAAGGAGTAATTGTTAAGCACCTTGAGATTAATCAGGTCCTGCCCGAGTGCCAACATGGGTTTAGAAAAGGAAGGTCTACGGTCTCCCAAATGCTTATGTCACTTAATGACTGGACATTTGCTTTAGACAAAAAATCCGCTGTCGACATAATATATTTTGATTTTTCTAAAGCGTTCGATAAGGTCTGTCATGAGAAATTGCTGTATAAGTTACAGCATGTGGGTATTCACACCCTAAGATTGTTCAGTGGATTCAATCATTTCTATCCGGACGCACCTTCCAGGTTAGGATTAATAACTCCTTTTCCTCGGTAAAACATAGTACCAGTGGTGTACCTCAGGGTGGTGTTTTGTCTCCTATACTTTTTAACATCTACACTTTTGAACTTCCCTCTTTGCTAGAGAATACCTCTGTTTCCTGCCAGATGTTTGCTGACGATATAAAAGTTTACAAGTCTGTCAAGTCTCCAGAGGATTTCTTGTCAATTCAGAAAGCCATCGATACAGTGCATGAGTGGTCTCTGACATGGGGTCTCCCTATTAGCCTTGATAAGACCAAAGCTTTCCATTTAGGAAAGAGCAATTCCAATAACAAGTATTTTATTTATGGTTCACCTATTCAGGCTGTCTCTGAAGTCAGAGACCTTGGCTTCCTACTTAACAGTAGCCTTGATTTTGGGCCTCACTGCCTCCAAATTGCTGCTAAAGCTGACAACGAAGGTTTGTTTTATCCTGCTTAAATCTTGAGAAAAAAGCAGGGATCCCCTCGTTCTGATCAGGGCCTACAAAATGTACGTCAGACCTATTTTGGAATATGGGACGTGTGTATTTTTTCCTTATAAGAAGAATGCCATTCAGACCATTGAGCGCGTTCAAAACAGTTTCACCAGGAAGGTTTTCATAAGGGCTCTTGGTTACTCCTACAACAGTATTCCTCACGCCATTATTAGAAATAAGATGCTATGCTTGGATTCTCTGAAAAAGCGTAGGTTGAGAAATGATTTAATAACCGTGTACAAAATCACACAGGGTACCATGCTTTTTGCTGCCGCTAAACTCTTCTCCTTTTCTGCCTCCTCTACTAGAGGTGAGGGCATCAAGCTGCGCTTTAGTAAGGCCAGGATTTCAGTTCGTAGTCACTTCTTCACTCAGCGGGCTGGCGGCGAGTACGCTAAGTTTAGCAAACACATTCCCTCTCCTATTAGTTATTGCTCCTTCAGACGAGAAGTCTCCCATTATCTCAAGGACATCAGCTAGTTGTCTTCTTGGTTTCTTATTGTTCTCCAGTTGCATTCTACCTACCCTCAGATTTATCTTATTGCTAGTGCTTTTAATTTGCCTTATAATAGTGTTCTCTCATTTGAAGTCTCCCGGTTTTTGTTGTTCATTGTTATAATAGTCCACATGCCCATATCGGGCGTGTAATAAATAAATAAATAAATAAGGGGGGGGTCGTGCTTGATACGCTGGGGAGGGTGAGGGAGTCGTACATGACTTTGAGAGAAATTTGTCGCGTTGTGAAAAAAATTTCACCGATTGTTTGACTTTTCGTGATTTCCCCTGTTTCACTGTTTCATGTGTACTATTTACCCCCACTCCCGCTAGACGGCAGAAAATTTTTGGGTTTCTGGGTGAAAAATTGGAAAATATGGGGAACTGGTTGGTAGGTGTTGGGAAGAGGGTTGCCGTACCGAGACCCTCCCTCAGTCTTGTAAAATGGTCGTATTGACACCACCATTTTACACATCACGTACCCTGTCTACAATGCTTTTTCCCACAGCACCCCACGCAACGTTGCTGGCCGCCTGGCACTTCCTGACACTCACTACCCTAGAAGCGAGAGGGCTTGTGAAGGAGCGTGAACTGAGGCGCAGGCAGGGCGGTTTTTTTCCACCAGTTGATGACATGCTGAGCTCGATGCTGCCCCGACTGTGTTCCGATCAAGCCCTTTCACACCTGTCCCCTACCCACTTTCTTTGCAAGGATAACTGCTGTACAGTAACAAAAAAACTTCAAACCAAATGCAAGCCAAAACCGGCATTATATCAACGAATCATTATCACATTTTCTCAAGTTTGGGCATGAACGGCAGCGGGAACTTCGGGCGCCGCGTGACGGAACCACTTTCTATGCGCCCAGTGATGCGTAATATCAGGAAATATCAGGTATTCACACTGGCCGTTAATGATAATGACTCAACAATGACACTCCAAGGGATGTTAAGCTCCAGCCGGGGGTGTAGCGAGGGAAATCCACCGCAAGACGACTCTGTCACATGCGCGACATTCGCTCCAAGACCAAATCGACTACCGTGGTAGTGGTGCAGTAAGTCGAGCGAATCAGCTGTAAGATCCACTGATAACTCCTGCGTGTTGCCACAATGTGAATCATGCGCACTACTATCCAGCAGAGGGTTGCGGAGATGAACATGGAGGGACAAAGGCAGTGGGGAGATGGACGAATTTAGGTCACATCCCTTTTCTGCTCATCTGCGCCAGCACGAGCAGAAGATGGAGTGTCTTTAGTGATGTGCCGGGACGTCACATCTGACCGGCGGGCGAGGAAAAGGCTTGCAAAGAGCAGCTCGGAACTCTCAGCAGGACCTTATCGATTGAGCGTGAAGGTACTGAAGGGCGTCTCGAGTACACCGAACAAAAAAACAAATACTAAAAAATACTTCCCGTTGAAAAGCTAGCTGGCAAAGCGGCCGCCACTATGATTTATTCTATAACAGAACGAATAACTTCCGTAGGCATCGTGCAATCACCACCGACCGAAGGTGCGGCTAGCACTATAGTGTACCCATCCGTCATGGCATGCAGCATCACGGCCGCTTCATAACAAAATCCTTGCTTCGATAAGCGATCTTAGGCAAAGTGAAATGAATACGAGCGTCAGAAACGGTCGTCACCGGATTTGTGGGCGGGCGCGGGAGCGTGGCGGGCGTATTGGGACGTAGTTGTGGCATGAAAGTGGCCCTTTATAAGACACCCTCCTTGGGGCAACAGCTATGGCAACCTGGCCTCGGGTCGCGGAATTCTACCTTCGCCAGGTTTACCTAATTTCAGTCGTCTGCGCGGATTTATCGTGGCCCAAACTCGCCTTTAAGCCAAGAGTGATCTATGAGGAATTCCGACCCCAAAAGCGCTTGTTTGGGCAGGACATGACCTATCAATGGGCTTACAACAATGATGCCCACCGTCTTCCCAGAAACAACCGGTAGGAAGAAGCCGCATGCGCCAATGAGAAAGGCATACAAGTAAGCTGACAACGCCCTCAGTGAGTGTCGGCAGTGGGAACAGTGCTTGTAAAGGTCCTAACAGAGTCAAAAGCTATGTCGTTGTTCATTCATGTTGAAAACGCTCGTGAGTTCAGAATTCTGTTTAAATTGAAAATAGAGATGATAAACGGCTCTTCACCAAAAAGGAAAAAAGATTCGTAGAAATCATTTGGAATTTCCTAGAAACCGCTTACTGAAAAGGGACGAAAAGTGAATGGTACGAGACCTGAGAGCGTGCCATGTGAATTTCCAGCAAAGAAATGAGAATAAAAGAAGTTCAATTCACCCATGGGAAGCGAAAAAGCTCTATGCATACACACTCTGCCCACCTTTTTGATTGTGATTGAGAAGCATGAGTTAGAGCGATGTGTCTGATACGAGGGCCAAAGTGTTCAGAACTGATACTCACTTGTCCCTTTTAGCGAATACAAGTCCCATGTCGAGGAGATAAAGCAAGCCGCATAGGAAGTAAAAAGCCTGAAACGAGAACCGTTGTGCCGTTGACTTTATTCAGAAACTGGTTTTGCAACGTTCTCGAGAGCAGATGGGGATGAGAGTCTTTCGGAACACGAAGCCTTTCAAGATTTGTCGCGCGCTATAGAGGTTCATACATCGCCTACTAAAAGGGGTCCATGTTCCGAACGTTCCCCGTTTTGTCGGTACAACGTGTGGAAGAACGCTGAAAGAGCTCACCGCAGCCACTGCCCATCCTTTTACGACAAACTGAATCTGGCAGCCGGGTAGTCCTGCACAACCGGATACTACGCCGTTGCCAACAGCCTAAAATTAGTCTGGACAATAATTTTTCAAAAACTCCCTCGTCATCTCTGACGGTCATGGTTGTGTTATTCTTT